CTTTTTCCAAAATCTTAGGAAATATAATAACAAAATGAATGAAGTACTACATTTTAAGATATTTATCCTTCTATAAAATTATTTAATGGAAAATTAAATTCTGACTGAAGATGCTATTATATTTTATATGCTCTCAAACCCCTTAATTTTTAGTATATATCAGTAGTAAGATCCTCAATAAGAGAAAATAATTTGAATAAAACTATAGTGGTTTTCATGGTTGATTCATAAAATAGAAAATCTTAAAGTCTACAATATACAAAAAAATCACCTCCATCTACAGAAGCTCACATTTTATAGTTTGTGTGTTCTTATTGTTCATTTTGATTTTTCATTCCTTAATGAGCGTGTTTCCAATTAAATCAAATCTGTACCTATTCTATTTTAGGATAATCTGACCACAAATATCAAGTATTACTACTCTCAACTACTTGCCCAAAGAGAACTAGAAAATATATTACATTACATCTCTGTAGACCCTAATACTTTGACAAAAATGATTATTCCACATAGGCATGTTAAAAATGTAAACTATGAGAATATCAGGATTTTAACAGGAGTAAGATTTCAGATCTGGAAGATAAAGAACTTCCATATGACAAAATAATCTCCCATCTCAAATTTCATACAAAATCCTATGTATGACCACAGAACATGTAACACAAACTGATAATGAAAGAAAATTAAATATTTTATACTGCAAAGTGTTACGTACAAAATATTTTGGAATATGCTTCATTTGCTTTTAAAAAAGATTAGCGGGGAAAAAAACCCCCAAACCAGAGTTCAGCTTCCAGTGATGAGGAATCTAATCCAGACAACAAAGAAGTCAATGGCAACCTTCCCATTGTTTGTAGTGAGATTTAAATTTGACACTGTCTTAGAAAAAATGGAGTTTTTCAGAGCAAAATACCTCTGTACATATGTATGTGTGTGCGCGTGCACGCGTGTGTGAAAGTGCGTGTGCGCGTGTTTGTGGGTGGGTGATGGATGGGGAATGTGTGTATATATATGAGTACACAATCATACATATATAAACACACATAATTATCATTACTAAGTATAAGAGGGCTAGCAAGCAGTACAAGTGAAATGACTGCCTTTCGGACAAGGCAGTTTACTATTAGTTTACTATTAGCGGGGTGTTGGTTTATTATACTACCATATGCACTTTCAAAAATATTGCTGACAAAGTTAATATGCAAGAAAGGAACATTTTTCTTATTCCGATCGAAGATGCAATAATCAAATCATAAAACACAAAACCAATAGCCAATCAATGTGAATAAGTCTGCCCATAGGCTTAATTCAAGCAAGCCATTCACTGAGCTATGTGATGTATCTGTCAAATCCAATACAGCATTACAGACATACTAGCAACATCAAGTGAACATGCAATGACAAAATGACAATCCGCCCCACTGCCATGCTTTAACTTGTTCTACCTCATAAATATAAAACTTGATGACTTTGCTAGTTTCTCTTACTTCAGCCTTGGACAGAAATCTAACAACTATGTTTTTATTATTTTTTTAAAATATTACATGAAAGCTGAAGAAAAGCTGTACGGACATTTTATTGACATCTGATTTAGTGTCTTTTGCACATCCTCACTATTATTTTTCCAAACACTCTCAGTTTAAAGAGTTTGGCAGGCAAAGCTCCAGAGTGGTGAAGACCACATATAGACCAGTAGGTCCCCATTTATCAATTACAGGAATTGGAAAATTTATCAGAAATATTTTAAATGTTGGAAAGACAAATATGATGTTTTGATCCACCTCTGCAAAGAGCTTCAAATCTGAAAGTGCAATTTAGTATGATGATAGATCACACAGTATAAAAATCCAATGCTAATTTTTTTTTTTTTGCAGTTGTATTCAGTGATTATATTGCTTCATAAATTAAATGTTCCTATTTGTTTGTTTCTTTTGTTTTACAATTCTAAGAAATTATTGGGGAACTCTGCCAGGTCTACTTCTGTTGTGAAATTGGTTTTAGGAGTAAATGAGTTGTCTTAACAAATATTTGGGGGTTTCTGTTGATTTGTTTCATGAGATTTCCTTGCCACCTGATTCTCCCCTATATATCTGTTCTTTGCCTATTTCCAGCAGTATTTCCAGCTGTGACAAACAAGGATACCATTACATTTCTTCACAACAGAGCTCTCTTACAGTGATCGTTATCCATCGACTTGGTGTATTGATTCCAGAGTCCCAAATCTTTCTGTTAACCTTTATTTTTAATTTACCAAAACACGTCTCCAATCTAAAGATTTCCTCTTTCCATCTCCTGACTTAAGAAGCATGTCAAATATGGAATGTTGCTATTCATTATGTATATGAGCTGTGATAAAAAAAAATAGGTTTTTTTATTTTTTTAAAATAATATGAAGTAGTATCTCCACGATATGTCACTGCTTCAATACTACATACTCACTGGGCCTCACTTCATTTTTCTGGGCATTATTTGGACATTAACAGTAAATATATTTCATGTGTAATTAAATTAAATAGGGGCTGAAATCAACAGTAAATAAGAGTAGTGTATAAGGAGATGCAGAATCTTCAATATTGTCAGAGGACAGCGGATGATTACTACATCGAGAAGAAAAGATTCAAGCAGTTGTACTAAACTATATTTCAGCACCTTCAATATTAATAACTCACAAAAGTTGCTAAATTAAATTCAGTTCAAAATGAATGAAAAGTTAATCAAATTAAGCAAAATGTCGTTATGAGTAATCAGAGGTATCCCTGTTTGCACATAGTTTCCCATATGCAAAGAAACGTTTGAGCAGATTGTTATTTGTTTTGTTCTCTATGCTAGTTTTAGGATTCTGCCATAAAGAAATTCCGTTACAATATTTGTAATTAAGACTAGAAAACATATTCATTTGGGGGAAGCAGATTGAAGATGAGGGTTAACCACATTTAAAAAGAGAAGTTAAATTAAAAAAAACCCAAAAGATATAAAATTCATTTAAGATATTTAAAATTATGCAAGCAAAGACAGGTTATTACAATTCTAATTATAGACAAAGTGTATCTGAAAATTAGAGGTTTTTTAAAAAAAAATAATTAAGGGTTGTAACAACTGCATTACTACTGATGCCATCTCAAGCTTCCTTTACAGCATTTAAGAACACTATCTTCTTAGACAAATCCTTGACTTTTTTTGTCAGCATAACTCTTAGTGATGTTGACTCTCTACCCATAGCAGAACATGCGACCAACTGATGGTTTATCTTACAGCATTTGATTTGTTTTATGAGAAGGTTCATTAATTCATAATTAAAGCATTTAAAAGTCATCTTGATAGTGTTCAGTTTCTCTAGGTAATGTATAGGTTTTCAGAAATTCATTTCTTTATGGGAATAAACAGCCTATAAAATGATCCAGGGACACCTGAATGATATCCGGCAAAAATGACTAACCACAGGAGGTTATTTATAATTTTGTCCTTTCGGTTTAGTAAGTTTTTAGAAGCAGGAATTGTTTTGTATTATAAGCTCACAGAAAAATACTAGAGCTGCGACATGCTAACACACCTTTGTGGAAATGAAATGAAACTACTGAGTAGCACTTCACCTTCGTAGGTTACCCTAAGTAGAAATAGTGCATCGCGAACATATCTAGTTGATATTACTGACCCAAAATTAATAGAAAGTAACTTGCTTACCTGTCTGACACAGCATGCCTCAGCCATACATGCAAATTATTTTATTCACATAACTTTAAAAAATACATCTTCATTACCCAGAATAAGCACTTGAAAGGCAAATATGCATGCATAGCATTGTAACATTCATACCATGGTACTTTGTTCTAAAAATACAGAATCCATGAACAGCACTTAAATCTAAGAAATAGTTCACTGAAATTTCTTAATCTACTGATTTCTTTAAGAAACAGAAACATTTAAAACTGTCTAATTTAGCATCTACAGAAATTTTTCAATACATATTCAAGATTTAAGAAATTATCTCCATGATTCCAAGGGAAAATTTTCTTATATCAGGAACTGAGAAGTGTGACCTTACTTCTCGCTGCTATCATGAAGCAAAATATATGCATGTATCTGTCTTTCCCAATGCACATCCTCCCTTTATGACTGCACACTCTTCAAGTACTTGAAAAATGTTAAAGACAGCATAGATTTTAAGGGTACCATTTATGAAGAAAACATAGGATATTCTTTCTTTTCATTACAAAATCATGTCCACACACTGCAAAGACTTAATTTTATGCAATTTGACAAAATCCTATCCCTACTGAAGTCAATAGCAATTTAGACATTGACTTCAAAGGGGTCCCAATTTTCATCTCACAAGAGGACAAGTTAATTCATGTGACATTGCTTTCAGTTTATAGAAGTTAAGTCTTTGCATGTTTCTCTTACACAGATTTTAGTTATCTGTTATTCCTGGTATTATTTCTATCAAAAGTAGTTTACATTTTGAGGATAAAAACACAGAGCAAAAGAAGAATAACTGTTTTTTTTTCTCAGTGTTTCAAAAAAAATCAAATGCCTGGAAAGAAAGCAAATGGAAAAAATATTGTTTTGCCTTGGATAGTTCAAGCTTAGAAACAATTCATTCTCAATTTCCACAGACTAAAACAATGTCAATGAGAATTGAGGGCACTCAATAGGTTCAGGTTCTAAATCAACTGAAATAATACTCCTAAGACGAATAATGATCTTTAGTAGCAGATCATCATGAAGCTGTACATATATTTATCTACATTGTTCAAGGGTCACAGGCATTAACTGGATGATCTACAGCTTGGGAATGTGCACATCTCACGCCTGATTCTCAATTAAGGCCTAAAATCTCTCAATTTATTGCTATTCATGGATTATAATAAAACAGTCTGCTTTAGATATCACAATTATCTGCAGAGCAACAAGACAGTTATGAGACTTCAACAAGGCAAATTGATAGAACCATCTTCAACTTCCACTGGTCAAATATTTATTAGCAGTAAATGAGGTCTTACCTGTCACTGTAGGCAGCTGCAGTGGCAGTGGCAGGCTGGGCATACCGGTAGGCAGCATAACCACCCTGAAACACAAACTCACGCTCTAACTGGATTGCTACAGCACCTTAAAAAACATTTTGCAAAATTTAGCAACACCTGAAAGAGTACTGTCATGCCGGAAGACCAGTTAAGGGGTTAAATGCATAGGAAATATTGCAGAGAATCGTTAAGCAAAACATAGCACCACAAACTTGTACTTGTTAAGATTTGTCCCAGAGATCAGGAGAAAGCAATGAACTATATTCATCAACATAGGGTTTTTTTACAAGACAATACTGTATTCTTCCACAAGTTTTCAAGTAGCAATTGTTCTTACGAATGAGGTGTATGTATATTAATAAAGCAATGCCAAACTTAAAAGAAAAACTCAGCTAATAATCAATTCGTTTTTGTACAAAATATGATTTATCATGTCTGGTTGATTAAGCCTATGAATTTGTGCACTCAGTTAACACTTAATGATACATACGCTTCCAATTTATACATAAAATTATAATGAAGAAGCAAAATTCTCTTCTTCCATGAATTAACATTCAGTAGTATGTAACAGTAATTGCAGCTGTTCAATTAAGCAAACAGGACAAACAAACACACATTTGAAAGGAATTGTGTGCAGTGATGCATTGATTATCAAACTGTGAAAACAGCAGAGCTTCCTGTTCAATGGACCACGGTGTTATATCAACCATTTCAAAATGATCTCAGCATGCCAATTAACAAACACAGGCCAGTCTCCACAGATAACACAAACACGATTTATGTCCCAATTAGAATTCACCACACCACAATCCTCTGGGACAGGGGACTTTTGAATTTCCTTTCCCACCTTCCCCCACCTTAACAAAGAGTTGAATAAGAAAGTATCACATCACTCAGCTTTGAATAAATTTCACTCTTTTGCTCACGTTTGCTTTAATGGATTGATCTTTTTCTTTGGGTTTTGTTTGTTTGTTTTTCTTTTTGGAAGGCTGCTTTCACACAAGATATTATGCTGAACATGAAGTATAGGCTATGATGTGTCAACCTTTACTGTAACAGTACTACATATTTACTACATGAACTTTCGCGGGGCATCTATTTTGATTTTACAAATAAAAGTTCACTCTTTTCAGAAAAGCAATTTCAACTACTTTTACAAGCTATTTCCCCTTCTACTGCTCAGCAGAATTGCTTTCATCCCTAACGTGTGTAAACCTTTGTTGGTTTGAAGATTTGCACCAGGTTGGTTTCAGGAATCAATCATTCAGCTGATAACGCCGCATCACCCTAAGAATAAACATATGTTTTACATATTCTGACAGCTCATTAGAAACTCCTGGCTTTCAATTGTCAACTTACTTGAAGAACATTCTTTCTGATTTTTGCAAGCGCTCACACAGAGAATAATACATTTACCTCCCCGCTCCTGGTCAGCTCCCTGCCAGCAGCAATTGTGTCACACAACCCCTGGGACAACACAGGGGGGCTCAAAGTACTCTGAATGCTTGCTCTTTGGCAGCAAGCTGCTTCTCTCTCCTAGCACAGAACCACTGAGACGAAATACTTTCTCATTTCAGATCATTTGATTTTTATAAACCAATAGAAGGCTATTACTGTCAAAAATGTATCCTAGGCACATATTGCGTGCAGGTATGTGCATACAGGCAGTCGGATGTCAAATAATGTCACCAAGTGCAAACTGAGCCAGTAAACAGCGAAGCTGAGAGATGATAATGCAAGCTGCACACTTGGTCTGGCTTCTGCCACAAGCAGAAAGGTGAGAGACTATACAAATTTATCTGTTCTCCCCTCCTGGTTTTGAGTGCTAAATATAGCAGCTTTTTTTTTTTCTTTTCTTTTTTTCCCTGAGTGCTGAGTGGGGGTAGAAATGGTAAAAATATAAAGAAGATATTAAACTTGTTGTCATGATCCAGTCCTGAAAACGCGTGGCAGACTGCCAGCCATTCTGCAGTATGGCATGAGTCTGTTCACCACACGTATGACTCCTTCGCCTGTCCTGTAGTCCGTTTCTAAAACGCCGTATTTAAACATGAGAGCCACTTCATTTCAATCCAACTATGCACATAATGACTCCCACCGCGGGACAGAATTAAGAATGGGCCACCGTGAAAAGTATCAATGTTTCACTGTGCTTAATCAGACAAAAATGAAACAGGTTGTTCTCATACCGGCTGGTCTTAAATCTGCGGATCGTAGGCTCTGTGAGGATTGTTTTTCTTTCCTTTATTTAACTATCACTGAAAGTTGGTCAGTCTGTGAAGACAGACCCTTTCTTGCTCCCTTAATACAAGAGTTACATTCCTTTTATGCTTACATTTTGATTTGCTTTCATCAATGAATCGCTGCTGAAAAATGAAGCTCAACTCTGAACTTTATTAAGATGCTTTGGGTTCAACAATCAGTATGACATTTGTGAGCATCCTGGAAAGACTGTGCCTAAAGCAACAAAAATAAAAAGAGGTCCAAGTTACTGAATTTGCCTGAATTCTTTGGAGAACTAAAATGCAGGATGCATTTGGTTATCAGAAAAATACTAATTCCCTACCAGCCCATGTCATGAATTCTTATTTTTAATATAAGCTATCATATAACTACACATAAAAACATCCTTAAGCAAATTATTTTTATGGGGTTTGTGTTCTGCAGTTTTGGTGCGGTACTGTTTTCTATTGTTTCACTGCAATTACTTCAGATGATTTATCATTGCAGCAACAAAAGACTTGAAGGTACACTTTATATTGGGAATCAGGATGAGAATCTGATTCAAACCCCTGAACCCTAAACTTCTGTGACAAGTTCTACTTTATAATTTTTCTCTAATTTTGAACTTGGCTGATATCTTAGATGAAGAATACACAAGTAATATTCACTACATATACATCTCTCGAGTAATATATTAAATATTTATCTTCATACATTAGAATATATTGCAAAATAAAATATTTAGAACAAAAATTATGTAGTAGTTAAATAATAATAGATAACAATTTTCAGTTCCTATGTTTTGGAAATGTTTCAAGAATGCTTTTTTCCCCCCTCACTCTGTACATTGAAACTGAAAGTACCTGACTGTTACACTGTAAATTTTTATTTTGAAAATTCATCTGAAATAATAAATTCAGCCAAAATAATGAAAAATACCTACTGCCTTATCTGTGCTTCCATATTTGCCACTTCCAAAACAATGATAACACAATGCTACAGCAGCTTACGTTGTCTTAAAAAATTAAGTACAGAGTCAATACATTCGCAGTGTAAATATAGAGATATATCTCACTGGCATAAAATACTGAACAGGACGCACAACAGTGACTACTGTATTTCATGGGATATGAAGAATATCTGTGATTTTGTGATAGAGTATGGAAAATAAAATGCAACTGGTAGGCTATTCTTATGATTTATACACAGAGAATCTGTTTTCTCACGTAATTACTTATTAGTATGATTTTACAAGAGTCTACATTCAGCATAATGAGTTTTTTCCATCAGACAATATGTCATACCTGTGGTAACTTATTGCCATACACAGGCTCTTGCAATACTGCTCTATAAAGAAACAGAAATGTAATGATTTGAATGAGTCAGGAAAGAAGGATGGAAAGAAAGATGTAAGGAAGGAATTTAGACCAATTCCCCAAAGCCACACATTACAATTTTCCTTTCAATGTTTTATACATCTCTGTGGCTCAGGCAAATTGAAAAAGAGCAGCGGGATCCATCACAGATCAGTGGCCCATTGTTATAGACAAATCTTAATCTTTAATTTTAGAAAGAAATCACAGAATTTTTAGATAAGATACGATTAAATGGAAATGAACAGAAAATCAAATGCGTTTGAATTTTTAAATGAACTCTGTATATCTGTAGTAAGAATTTCCACGAAAATGAGTTGTACAAACACACATCTATAGAGTACAAACCCACATATGTTCACCTCCTCCTAAAATACCTAAGTTACTTTTTTGTCTTAATCTCAGATGTACTGACAGTGATTATTGTATATACAGAGAAACTAAACAATCGCTTTTTTTCGTTATTTTCCCTATTAATAACATATTTCATATTCTATGTAAATATTGAGAATTATTTTTCCTCCATTTTTACTTCCTATGCTTCCTTTCACTCCAGGATCTCAAAGTATTCTGTGAACATAAATTAATCAAGGCTCAAAAACTTTTCTAGTGTTGAGAATTATACCTACCTTAGTGGCTACAAATAGAGGAATGGGATTAAAAATACCTGAATTATACCCGGCCCTGCAGAATATAGAAAGTAGAAGTAGTCATTTACTCTTCCTCCACTTATATGAGTTTTAAACAGTATTTGTGCTGCTCACGGAGTAAAACTTTGACTAGGAGAATTAAAAATAAAATACCCAACACCTCTTCATGCTGGCTCAACTTCTGGAACAGGCCCATGTAAAAGGTTCGTGTTATTTCTGTGTTGTGTTCTCAGAGGTAGCTGTTACCCCAGAGAAGCTCTTGCTAATATATCCAACCTGACACCACCTGTATTAATTCCTACAAAACAATCACAAAGACTGATCTAACATTTTTTGAATGCACCATTTATATCACAAATAAAGATCAGAGAGGTGAAAAGACATTTAATCACTACATCTCAAAACTTTTAAAAAGGTATCGTGGAGTGTTCCAGCACATAGACCACTAGGAAGAACAACCCACTGCTCCCTGGAGATTCGTTTTCCCTTGGAAAAAGTCATTTCTCCACTTCTCATTCTGTTCCTGTGAATCACAGGAAATGGCACATCCTTCCATTTACAAAACACAAAAATCTTTGGTACTTAAAAGAAAGACTTCAGTGCTAATTGCATGTCCTTGCTTTTCACATTAGAACAGCGCCTTCCAGGGTATCTGATTGCATCGATGGACTTCTACCTATTATCAAGGGAATGCTGCTTAGATAATTATACCTGCTTTTTCCTTGGGAAGTAAATACACGCTCCATCCTCAATACCATCCTACCTTTGAGCTAAAGGTAATGGAGGTAGCTATTGATAATCTTGTTCCATACCCCTGATCACAAAAGCATTCTTATTCTTGATTGGTAGCTTGAAAAAAAAATCTTAAACCTACGTACTTATATGTTGTTGTGGACTCTCACCAGTTGCAGTATCACAGGTCCAGAATCCTGAGAATGGGTTAGAAAGTCTTGCTGTGAACAATAAGACTGACCAATCTACATGGTTAAACCATATTCCCAAGGGCCTTCTGAACCTGCTGATGGCAGAGTTTGAAAGTTTCTCATATTTCTTAGCCTTCCCACATTTTAGGTGTGAACTGAAGACCGACATGTTCTGAAAACATTGTTTATGATGATGGTAAAAAGTAACAGATTTAAGATAAAGCAGAGCAATAGTCAAGAGCTATTATTCTACCTGCATACTTCTGTGTCTGTTACTATTTTTGCTTCATTTTGTGGAGTGTATTTTCTTATTTTCACAGGTGTCAATCTTCATCTAGGAACTTCTAGATTTGCTGGCAGGCAACCTTAATTCTCTTTTAATGACTTTTTCTCTTAGTGAATCAATACTTAATTTTAAAAGGTCTTCCTTACTTCCTAATCATCTCCTTTATTTTTCCTACTCAAAGGCACATTTAAAAAGGAATTCAATAGCTTAGCTATTTCAGAAGCATTATTAAATTCCATATAGAATTATATGAAATATAGAATATATTACATTACATCTGGAATCATGGCTGTTGATTTTTCATTTTAGACTGTACTTTCCACCTATTTTTATATTCCTATTCTCTTCTATTCCTCTGATTAGTATTAAGCAACTCTGGCTATTTGCTGTTCTTGGTTCACTCTGCAGTTTTCACCCAACCAGTATCTTTCTGTGTCTTCCCTCCTTCCCTTCCACAAAATCTAGCCATCTACATTGATAGCTAGTCATGGAAAGACTAGCATGGTACATATTCCTGTTGATAATCTATGTAATCATATCAGAATAAAACCCACTCTGATATACTTGTTAATGCATATTTTTGGTCTGGCTTTTCAGTTCCTTTGGTTTTGCCTTATGTGGTATTTTTAAGGTTCCCTTCTCACCAATCTACTATTAAAACCTATATTGTTTAATTTTTTTTCTCCTTTTTTTTTTTTTCACAAAGCATTTGTTCTTTCACAAAGCTTCAGCTCTGCACTTAAAACGAAAGCCTAAGTAGAACTATGTCATAATCAATTGGGATTTAATAAATAACTTGGTCCACCGCAAACTAATACACTAAGAACTAATGCACTGTGAATTGTAAGGTTTCTTTTGATTTCACAGAATTCACAGAATTGTTAGGGTTGGAAGGGACCTCTGGAGATCATCTAGTCCAACCCTCCTGCCAGAGCAGGGTCACCTACAGCACGTTACACAGGACAGCGTCCAGGCGGGTTTTGAATGTCTCCAGAGTGGGAGACTCCACCACCACTCTGGGCAGCCTGTGCCAGTGAATATTATGCCAGATTTATGCCAGTTCTCTCTATCTCTCTATCTCTCTCTCCGTCCCCTTGCATATAAATGTTTTATATGCAAGAAAGAACAAATGTGAAGAAAAATGAATAATAAAATAAGAAGCTTTGTACATGATAAAAAAAATTAAAAAATCAAATGAAGTTCCAGAAGAGTGTTTGAATTCTGTCAACTGCTGTAAAGGTAAACATTCTGCTGCATTAAGGGAACTAAGAAATGCAATCAGAAATACAAGGCTGCAACTGAGTGAAAACCAATGCACCAGTATAGTTATTCCACTTCCTAATGCACATGACTATTCCAAACAACAAAACTAAGGCTATACTAGAAATCAGTAATTTCTTCGTATCTTGCTCACTGAAATCAGTTCCCGATTGGGAACAAAATGTTCAAGTCTGCGAGAGGGTGTAAGGCCACCTAAAAATAATATTGTCAATCACCAAAGGAGATATTCCTGTTTTTCAGCAGCAGTGGGTTCCAAAATTACGAACTGTTACATTAACATTTAGTTCGCACCTCTACTATCACATTAAGCAATCCTGAGAAAGATATTTTGTTGCCTATCAAATTTTCAGGTTGGTAAACTGCGCAAAATGGATGTCATGTTCTTTTGACAGTTTGAAGAAATATGAAAATTGGAACCCACACTTGAAGAAATTCCACGCTGTACCATCTATCCTGTATAGCTCAAAAATTCAGCAGCAATGTGTTTAGGTGAGATTAGAGCAGCATACTACACTTGAGTAAGCCTTTGGGTGATTCTCATGTGTTGTAAACAATATGTTACTGATAACATCACTAAGTACATAAGTACATAGGGAGAGAATTTTAACCCATGCTAATTTATTTTAAATTTTTTATTTTTAATCTACACAAATTAATTTTCAGATAAGTATCAGCTTCTTTCTATCTCCATCTGGAAAACAAAACCTACTTCATCCATAAATTCAAATTATTTTCCTTCTTTATATAAAACTTATTTTTAAAAAAATCTGTTCCCTTGGACATAGTTCTAAAAGATTGCTGATAATGAATACAAGGAATGTTTTCTAGCACTACCTATTGAATTTTTAATACTCATACCAATTTCAACTCATCCATCTTTTTGTATCTCAAAAGAGACAGTACAACAGACGTACAAGTAGGCTAGAGAAAGTTGTCTAGTGAAATAGAGAAGATACCTGTAAATTAGGACCAGATTGCTTTATCAAAATGTGAAAGATTACTGGAATATCAGTAAAATATTTTACATCTACACATAGGGTATAAGAAGTAACTATTTCAGAAGAGTGAAATTCAGCCTCAACCACCCAAAACTTCTTGCATACTTAGACGTAAGTAGCCTCTTCGTATACATTCAAGGTAAAAACTTCAGTATTGGCAAGAAACTTAAAAAAATATTATTTGAAAGGAAATTGGTGACCAGTGAGGTGAAGTAGGTAATGATGGATCCAGGGCTATAAATTCTTACTAACAAATATAACCACTTCTTATATCATAAGCAGTCTCTGCTCATTTCATTTAAATTGAAATAAGTGGATTTTAAAAGAGCAGATAGAAGTCTACTCAGATTACAGACAATAGATAGCCATATCTTAAACTTACAATGTAATGAAGCTCTCCTATCACCGTGGCACTTACGTGTACCCAATGTTGCCTGAATTTGGGAAATCTGTATCTCTCCATAAAGTATTTTCCTACTTCTGGTATTAGTAATACTAAGCTTGTCTTGATTTTTTCAAAACAAGCTTTTGGGGATTGAAGAAGAATGTTCTTGCTTTCTTTTTATTTTTTCTTTGAACTTCAATTTTGAAGGGAGACACCCCTCCACATATGCATAGACATTTTTCACATCTTTTTGCATTCATTCAGCATTTGCTTGAAGAGTTAATTCAGCTCCACTGAACAATGATAGATGTAATGAACAGAAAGGTCTTCCAATGTGAGAGATATTCTTCTCAATTCTTTCTGACAGGCAAGGGATGGTAAATAGACAAAACAGAGTCAAGCTAGGCAGCAAACTTGTAAAAAGAATGACTCTGGTAATGTACAAGGACAG